GGTTGCTCAACGTCGTTCTCTGTCGTCGGATACTCGAATCCTTCGCGAAGCCAAGCTGTATGAATTGGTTCTGCAGAAATCTTCAACAAAGCAACCATCTTTTTCATGTTTAAGAGTAACAAAGATAACTTCAACTGCAAATTATATGTTTGTTTCTTATCCACCAACACAGGAGTACGGTTGTTGTGTTTCTCAAATGTGGAACCAAGGTCTGCAAACAGAGATTCCATCTGCGAGCGGAAACTACCAAAGGTGGTATTGTATAACGCTTCTTCCTGTGTAAGTTCCTTGTTCTTCTGTTTACGGTATGGATGAGCGAAATTTTGGACTTTAAGAGTATCAGACTCATCTATAAGCCTCCTTAAGAACTGTGGATACCCTCCATCGAGAGCAATGCAATCCATCTCATGCACTCTCTTGTCCAACTTCATCGTTAGCAGCATTGTTCCATCAGCATTGTTCTTGCAAGATGCAGATTTGGAGACAAATAAGGCCATGCCATTACAATCCATTGCTACCTGTGTGCGTAACCCTGACTTTTTCAGCTTGTAAGAGTACATATCAGCACTGCTCTCACCTTTGTATGTTGCTCTTGTATCATGACCATCAAGATGCAATGTAACATGCTTAAATAATGGAGGATTCTTTTCCTTTGCAGACAATAGGCGTATTTTAATTGTGGAGAACATTGTTGCAATACAGTTGGTGATGTACTTGTTGTGCAAAGTATATTCTTTCTTATAAAACACAGAGTGCATTGCATGAAAACTACTTTTTGGCATGTGTGGTTCCATTGCTTCCATAGACAGTCCTTTGACAAGATGATAGAGCATTAAAAGACCTTTCTCCACTTCTTTGTATGGACCAGGATACTTAACCTTTGGCCAGATGTCAACAAGAAAGAAGTACACTGGAATAGGACCAAGGCGTCGATTTAGGGTTTCTTTTATTTCTGGCATATACCCAATTTCCTTGCTTACAGTACGATGATTATTACGTGGTGTAATTGTTGGCCATCCAGCGTTGAGGAAAGTCCAATGGTCATCAAGCAGTTGTTGGAAGTGTTTTGTTAGATCCATAATAATATTTATGTATTGGATTGTCATGACGTTAACCAACAATAACAATTTTTTAAAAAGGCTTATACTTAACTGCATACACAACAGCATGTAGGATGGTATCTATCATACAGCAAGCACATAGTTGAGAATACAAATATATTTTTATATTTTATTCGGTAGCAGCCCCTTCATGTGCAGAGGATATAAAAAGGCATATAAAAAATATCCAAAGCCCAAGGAACGGAGTGTTTACTTCCATAACTGACATATCTCTTCATAGTGGGCAACAGAACACAGAATAAAATAGCAATAGACAGCACATGTTTTTTTAAAATGTAATCTCTCCCCTGTATTTCGCCCCAAAGATACAGTTGAGAGTACAAGTGCTTTAGATGATGACATACAAGAACTACTCTGGCGAATCTTGCAGTGAGGGTTACAGGTTAATAGTAGATGGACATATTCAAGAGTGTGGTGTGCGAAAAATAAGAAGACTTTGTTGTTTGGAGAATAGGTTGGTGTTTAGTAGGATAGTTAAACAAAAAATGTTACAATGGTTGTCTTATATGCTTGGTATCATATATACATTCTCATCCCATAGTCGCTATGGATATTGTCGAGATCTACAGAGATGTAACAAACACCATATGATAACTTGGACCTGAAAGGCCTCCTTTGCAGCCAGATAAGGGTTGGGCGGAACGACCCAACGGTTGTCAATCTCGAAATCTCCCCGGCCATCGATCCTGACTGTCCTTCCATCCATGCGGCGCCGGTACTGCGGATATCCATTTGGTCCGTTTGTGGTGGTTGCGAGGAAGGGCTTGGGATAGCCTTTGGTACACACGCCGTTCTCCATGCATGGAGAGTTCCTGTTTGCCGGTCCACATGGGCCATGGATCATGGATTTCACAACAGTCTCATAGGCGGCCGGATGAGTTGCAGGGTCAGGAATCTCGGCAGAAATGTATTTGTCGTAGTCCTCAGGCAATCCAGGCTTGTGCTCGGGGCTCATGATGAGCAGAATGTGTGCATGGGGGAGTCCACGCTTCTGGAACTCAATGACATGAATCATGCCGACGACCTTTCCGAGGACATGGTTTTTCAACAGATCATGCAGGAGTTCCTTCAGCTTGATGTGAAAGACGCGGGTCGTGCAGCGAGGATACTCTCGTCCGAAACGGTGTCAAAGATGGTTTTGAGGTAGTCGCAGTTGTTGGAGTGACGCTTCTGGGAATGGCTGATCCTTGCACTTGTCGTTTGCTTCCCTTTAAAGTATGGGCAGCGACGACTTGTTGACCTTTGGTGATCGTTTCCACGGCACCTGCTACACCTGCTAATAGGGGAAGAGGAGGAGGAAGAAGAAGCGATTGCATTGGGTGTGGTGATAGTGCTATTGATGGGAAGCGAGGAAGGAGAGGAGGGAGTGGTAACAGTAGATTTAGTGGCAGCCGTACGCCTGGTGGTGGTAAGGGAAGAGAACCTGACGGACTTGGTGGGCTGCGACCTTGTTGAGTTCGTCGCTCTAACCCGCTTGTATCCTGTAAAGGCTGTAGTTGAAGAGGTATCGATACTGGAGGTGGAGGTAAGAGGAGCACGGCGAGTGGAAGGCATGTTGAATGGTGACAGATGTGATGAAAATGAAATTTGGAGTTGTGGCTGATGAAAGACTGTAGTTAGGAATAAAGGGGCAAAAAAAAAAAAAAAAAAAAAGCACAAAAGCGAGGAAAAGAGTAGCAGCAAGTTATTAGAGAAGAAAAGGTTGTTGCTGGAGGATTCTAGAGGTTCTAGAGGACTCCCACTTTGCTTATTTAGCATTTCTTGGTCAGCAGATCCTCCTAGGGGACACGCACTTCGCTTTCTGTGGGATACGCATACGCACTTTTGCTTAGTCAACATCAATCAACAACAATGGGAGGTGGAAATTTAGTGGCGTTCGTCAGGCACACACACAGCACATACGATAGACATAATACAATCATGTGATTTAGGAACGATTGATTGATTGTGACTGCGAACTATATCAGGTGATCACTACAGTCGCTTTGTATTATTAGATTAGTTCTGTAATACAGCTGAAAGTAATAGTTGTGATGAACAGGTGGGACATACAATGGCCATGCATCCAGAAGCAGTATCCATGGTGGAGGGCATTGGAGAGGTCCACTCGGGCAACAAAGTGCTTGAAGTGCTTGCATGACTGGAAGAGGAGCTTTGTGTTGATATGACTTGTGTTAATGGCCTCTGCAGATCATCCTCGCTTTCATCGTCGAGTTGGATTGACTCCGAACTGGAAACGCTTTTCCAACCTGGGCGCCGCCTTATGAGCGGCTCATCCTTGCTATTGCTATCCTCATAATCATCCACCACAATGGTAGACTGACTTGTTGTGTTTGGATCCTGATCCTGAACGACCTCAGCGAATGCAGCGAGGTCATCGTCGTTGTCGTCTATGATCGATTCGTCCTCGCTATCATTAACATCCACCACAATGGTAGACTGACTTGTCGTGTTTGGATCCTGATCCTGATCGACCTCAGCAAGTGCAGCGAGGATGTCGTCGTCTGAGATGGTGTCAAAGATGGCTTCATAGTAGTTGACGCTGTAGGAATAATGCTTTTGAGTATTGTTGATCCTTGCACTTGTCGTTTGCTTCCCTTTATAGTATGGGCAGCGTCGACTCGTCGATCTTTGGTGGTCGGTTCCACGACACTTGGAACACCTGCTGATGGAGGAAGACGGGGAGGAGGAAGAGGGAGAGGAGGAAGAGTAAGGAGTAATGGCCTTGGGTTTGGGTTTAGTGTTATTGATGGTGCGGCGCTTGATGGAGCGCTTGGTGTGTTTGGTAGGAAGAGAGTAGGGAGCGAAGGAAACAGAGGGAGCGGTAGCAGTAGAGCTGGTGGCAGTGTGCCGGGCGGAAAGGGGAGAGAACGTGACCGACTTGGTCATCTGCGACCTTGTTGAATTCATTGCCTTGGTTCGTTTATATCCTGTAAAGGTCGCAGGGGGAGAGACATTGGAGGTGGATGTTGAAGTAAGAGCGACACGGCGAGAGCGAGTGGAAGGCATGCTGGCTACTGACAGATTAAAAAAAAAAAAAAAAAAAAAAAAAGAGAGAGGTAAGGAAAGGAAAGGAAAGGAAAGGAAATATTCTTGTCCGAAAAAAAGAGAAAGAAAAAGCCATCGGCTCTACTCTCTACATTCTCCATTTCCGCATTTTTAACATGCTTACCGGCAGATCAGTTTACCGGTATGGCTCTCATTCCGCATTTTAACATGCTTACCGGAAGATCTGCTTACCGGTAGATCTGCTTACCGGTATGGCTCTCATCGCATCCCACATCCATCTATCATTTTCTCATTTTTAATTAACTTTCATTTTAATTAACTTTAAGCTAAAAAAAAAAACGCACACAACACACACAAACACTTACACACACACTACATATACACCATATACACACCATACACACACCACAACACCATGAGAAAGAGAAAGAGGGAACATCACATGATTTACGATAAGTCAGGTGATGGAGATAACGATTTTGTATTAGTAGATTTTATTCGGTAGCGGCCCCTTCATGTGCAGAGGATATAAAAAGGCATATAAAAAATATCCAAAGCCCAAGGAACGGAGTGTTTACTTCCATAACTGACATATCTCTTCATAGTGGGCAACAGAACACAGAATAAAATAGCAATAGACAGCACATGTTTTTTTAAAATGTAATCTCTCCCCTGTATTTCGCCCCAAAGATACAGTTGAGAGTACAAGTGCTTTAGATGATGACATACAAGAACTACTCTGGCGAATCTTGCAGTGAGGGTTACAGGTTAATAGTAGATGGACATATTCAAGAGTGTGGTGTGCGAAAAATAAGAAGACTTTGTTGTTTGGAGAATAGGTTGGTGTTTAGTAGGATAGTTAAACAAAAAATGTTACAATGGTTGTCTTATATGCTTGGTATCATATATACATTCTCATCCCATAGTCGCTATGGATATTGTCGAGATCTACAGAGATGTAACAAACACCATATGATAACTTGGACCTGAAAGGCCTCCCAAGCAGTACTACCATCGGATGAAGAGGTTGATGGATGTGTACCAAGTCAAGGACTTACCCAAGTTCGCTGATTTGTTATTCTTGCTGCAGAGAGCGGTCGACCCGAGCGTTCTTACGATGATCTTGTTGCAGAAGCGCATTGCGGTCCTTGAGGGGATGCTGGGTGTGGCACCTGATGAAACAACCTTCGAGTCTTATATGGACAGTTTGCAGCATATGCAGGGACCCGCAGACAGTGATGAGTGGGCACCGGTTATTTTGGAGAGGAGACGATTGACCGGGGCTGCAGATAACGAAGCAGCGAGGCAGGCCCAGAGTTTAAAGGATAAGCTCATCAACCAGCAGAAGAGGGCAGCGGCAGCAGCAACGCTTGCGACGACAAGTGGAACGCGTGTCGGGGGGACTACTGGTGGTAGCATCAACCAAGTTCCTACAGCGGGTGATAGTTCGGTCCAGAAGGGGAATGCTGGATTCGGCGGTCAACGTGGCGCCTTCGGTAATGGTAGTGGTTCTGGTGCGCCTAGAGGTCGAGGAGGTAGTCATGGTCGTGGAGGTTACAAGAGGAACTTCAACCGTGGACACCATCCTTATCCTGGCAGAGGAAACAGCAATGGTAAGCTAAACCACACTGTTGAGTATGATGATGCATCTGAAGAAAAAGTTGAAGTAGATGGTGGTGAGATGTCTGTTGTCGACCAAGATGTCGTTGAGATGAGTAACGAAAATGGTGACGTCACCGAAGTCGAACATGACCGCATGACTAACGACGCGTCTTTCATTCTGCATTCCAAACAGGTGGAAACAAGCAGTGAGATGCAACAAACTGATGTACATGAACTGGAGGAGCAGTCGCACAGTTTAACAGAAGTAGTCATAGTGAATGAAACAACAACTGACGAGAAGAATGTCAGTGACATCAACCCACGGAGTGAAACAGTGAAGAAGAGAAAGAAGAAAAAGAAGAATGCAAAGGGTATTGCGAAAATCGAATTGAAGAGCAAACTGCGTGGTGAATCCGGTTTGGGTATGAGAGTTCATGTAGGTCCATTGCCGATGCATCCTCTCGACGGGGGGGAAGGTAGCGGTGATGCTAAAGTGGCTGTCGACCAAGCAAAGGTGAAGTATGGAGCTATGGGCATTGTTAAAGAAGGAAGAGATAATGCACTGGCCGAGTACAACATCGAGGATGTAGTAGACGACGAGTACCTAAGGGCCTTCGAAAGATTTTCAATTAGTGATAACCCAGTGTCAGACGCATGTGATGGTTACCCATTATTCTCCTTTGGAGAGAAGGACTTTGAGTTAGTACACAAGCACTATGGTTCAAGTAAACGAAAACATCAGCCGGATAATCGACTGTTTGTTCCTGTTTATCTTAATCAAGAGCGACATCTTGCACTCATTGATACTGGTGCCACACATTCATTTATTAGTGCAGCTGTAGTCAAAAAGTATTCTATTCCGGTTAAACCAATGGAAGGATACATTGAATTAGCTGACTCGTCTGTCATTAAACGCGTTGGAGAAACGGAAAACGTAGAGATTGTCTGTGGACAGAATGTGCTTAGCGCGCCATATGAGGTTATTGAACAGAGTCATGCAGTTACCATTGGCATGGATCTCTTTCACCGCTATGGATTCAATATCGTTGGACTACCCGATGCAGATGAGTCGTCTGGATGGATGCCAGCGCCAGTTGAAGACGAAAAGCCCACGCTGATACCTCTCACGATTCCAGAACGAGAAAAGACGCAGGAATTTATTGCGGAAAAGGACGCGTTCATGAAGAGTATAGAAGAGTCGCTGAGGTTAAACGCCAAGATTCCAAATACAAGTCATTGTACTATACCTGAAATGAAGGTGTATTTGCCAGTCCCTGATAACGTTATCCTCTACCGCAGACCTAAAGTATTTGCTGCATCGCAAATGCCGGTTCTTGATGAAGCAATCCAGAATTGGCTGAAGGATGATGTAATTACATTAGCACCTGCAGGTAATGCACACAACAACACATTAACGCTAGCGGCTAAGAAAGATGCTAACGGAAACAAGACTCTCTACCGAGTGTGCTTGGATCCGCGGCCCTTAAACGCGCACCTACCCAATGATAATTTTCCGGTACCACTTATATCAGACATCATGCAATTTGCTGGAGGCAATGCAGTGTTCTCGACTGTGGACCTAAAGCAGGCGTATCATCGATTACCAATCCATGAAGAAGATCAGCCGTTGACGGCATTTATGCATAACGGGATTCAATATATGTTCAAGAAGGCTCCTTTTGGATTGAAGCTGCAACAGGCGAAGACTGGGACAGAGAAGTATAGAACGGGGACGAGAGTTGAAGCAGTGATGATTGATGTTATTACTATGGTACAACTAAATATATATACAAAGTCGCCAACTAGGTTTCTAGGTGTAGTGTCATAGTGAGTCAGAGATGATAGAGAGTGACAAGGAATGACTAACTAGAGAGCAATGATAAACCTAATATGTTGCACCTTCCCCTCTTAAAAAAAAATCCGCTAAGTCCTAAGGCCATGGTCGCGCTTGTACTTGTTGAGGATGTCCTTACAGTGTGCCAGTTCACTCTCTGGTTCCCATGTCCAGTCCTCGCGCGGGTATCCTTGCCATTGTAGAAGGTACTCCATGTTGTTGTTAACCTTCCTATGATCTGCAATGGCCTCGACCTCATACTCTTCCTCGTCTTCAACGATAACCGGTGGTGGCCGTGCTGGTGTTCTTGGTCCTAGCGTCGCAGGTGATGGTTGGTAGCGTCGGAATCGGTCGACGTGGAAGACGGGGTGAATCTTCATGGACGGTGGAAGATCAAGGCGGAAGGAGACCGGGGACAGCTGTTCAACAATGGTGTGGGGGCCGGCAAAGCGAGCCAAGAGTTTCTGCGACGTGCGGGTGCGGTCCGAGGGTAAGGTGATATTCTCAAGGTTAAGGAGAACGTGGTCACCAACCTTGAAATCATGCTCTCGCCGATGGATGTCGGCGTTGGCTGCTTGACGTTCTTGGGCGGCAGCAAGGGACTCCTTAGCGAGGGTGAGGGCTTCGCTTCGAGATTGCACGAACTCGTTAACCGATGGGTTGGGGCCGGGAGTAGGGGTCAACAATGACATGGGCATGTTGGGATGGGCTCCGGAGTTCAAGAAGAACGGGGAGACTCCAGTGGAGGCATTGGTGGCGTTGTTCGTGGCAAATTCGGCGGCGGAAAGTAAGAGGTCCCAGTTAGACTGCCGTTGGTCGACAAAGTTACGGAGCATGGTGATAAGGGTGCGGTTGGCACGCTCGGTCTGGCCATCGGTCTGAGGGTGGAAGGCAGTCGACATGGCAAGGTGGACGTCCATCAGACGGCTCAATTCTTTCCAAAAGCGGCTCGTGAACTTGGTATCGCGGTCGGAGACAATGGTGGTTGGCATGCCGTGCAAGCGGAAAACATGGTCGAAAAAAATGCGTGCAACTTGCGAGGCGGAGTCGGTGGTGTGGCAGGGGGCAAAGTGCACTTGCTTTGTGAGTTTGTCAACAAAGACCGTAATGGAGTCAAAGCCGCGTGGGGTCTTGGGTAGGGGGCCGACAAAGTCCATTGTCACCGTTTGCCAGGGTCGATCGGGAATGGGTAGGGGCTGGAGGAGGCCAGCAGGTGGTTGGTTGCTGGGCTTAGTCCTTTGGCACGACTCACAGGTCTGCACATACAGCCGGGTGTCCTTCGCCATAGATGGCCAGAAGAACCGCGAGTGGAGATGACCGTACGTCTTCTCGAAACCGAAGTGACCAGCTATAGCGGAGTCGTGTGCATCGTGAAGAAGAGAAAGCCGAAGGTCAGAGTTCGAGGGGATACAAACAAGTAAAAGATCATTACGTTGAATGCAAAGAACACCATCAACAAGAGAGTAATTAGACGGTGGACTTCCCTGGAGGCAGCTTTCATAGATCGGTTTGAGGCGGTGATCCTCTTTGTAACCATCCATCAGGCGCTGCCGGAGCCTGGGGTCGAGCTGTACTGAGAGTGTGTTAATCTCTCTATGGTCCGGTCGGCGAGACAGGGCATCTGGGACAATGTTGTCGGCTCCTTTCTTGTACTTGAAGGTGAAGTTGTATTCCTGCAACAGTTCCATCCAGCGGGCCTGACGGCGGGTGAGTTTGGGTTGAGTGGGGAAGTGTTGGAGGGTGGCATGGTCGGTGTATACGATGAAGTGGGATCCGTCCAGATAGTAGCGCCATGTCTTCAATGCATGTACAACAGCCAACAGTTCCTGTTCGTGTGTTGGGTAGTTGCGTTCGGCAGAGTTCAGCTTGCGGGAGGTGAAGGCGACGGGGCGCGACTCGCCATGCTCATCGGTCTGAAAGAGAACGGCACCGAGAGCAAAGCCGGAGGCATCGGTTTCGACGGTTGTTAGAAGGTCGGGGTCGAAGATACGTAGAACAGGTGCTTTACTGATGGCCTCCTTCAGAGTCGTAAACGCTACTTCCTGCTCCTGAGACCAAGAGAAAGGAACGCCTTCACCTAAGAGAGCGGTCAACGGTAGGGCGATCGAGGCAAAGTTAGCGATGTACTGATGATAGAACTGTGCAAGACCAACAAACTGCTGAACATCTTTCTGCTTCTGGGGACGGGGCCATTCACGGATGGCACGAACGAGACCGCCGCTCGTATGGATACCGTCCTTGGAGATGACGTGGCCGAGGAACTCGGTCTCTTTCTGCATAAAGGAGCACTTGCTCAACTTGGCGTAGAGACCGTACTTGCGGAGGAGCGTGAGGACGGATCGGAGATGTTGTAGATGTTCGGCCTCGGTGCGCGAGTAGATAAGAATGTCGTCGAGGTAAACAACAACCCACTTGTCGAGAACAGGGTCTAATACTCGTAGCATCATATTGGAGAAGGACGCCGGTGCATTCGTTAACCCGAAAGGGACCACATTAAATTCGAAATGGCCGTAGCGGCAACGGAAGGCTGTCTTGTGTGTGTCCTCTTCTGCTATACGTTGCTGATGGTAACCGGAGAGGAGGTCAAGTTTGGTAAAGTAGCGTGCCCCGCGGAAACGGTCGATAAGTTCATCAATGCGGGGAAGGGGGTGTCTGTTCTTTTTTGTAATCCGGTTTAACCCTCTGTAATCAACACACATACGCAAGGAACCATCCTTCTTTTTCACAAACAATACAGGGGCACCATAAGGGGAGGTAGAGGGTTTGATAAAGCCTTTGCCAAGTAGGTCGTCGAGTTGCTTCCTTAGTTCATCCAATTCAGCAATCGAGAGACGTATAACAGGGCGAAAGGGGGGATCAGCGCTCGGATCAGTTTCGATCTTCATTGCATCGCCTCTGTCAGGGGGAAGGCCAGAGGGGAGGGAGGAAGGGAAAACGTCGGGGAACTCGTTGTGGACGATGTTGTGAATGTCGGGTGAGAGTGGAGGGGAGGTCGGTTTGTTGTCATTACTGTTGTTGTCGTTGGTCTTTTTAGCGATGTTGACGAGGGCGAGGTAGACAGCGTTTCCAGGTTGGGTAGCAAGGGAGTGAAAGTGAAGGTGAGAGAGGAGTTTCCCTTGTGTGCGAGCGGAGATGGAGTTGGCGTTGGCACCACGACAGCGCCAGAGAACAGTGTGTCCATTGTGGGTGAAGTGAAGGTCGTTGTTTCGCCAGTTGATGAAAGGGTTGATGGTCGTTAGCCAGGGTTTTCCAAGGATGAGGTCGTAGTTGGAGAGGGGGTAAATGAGTGCTTCCAGTTTGTCGGAGTAGTGGTCGCGGTCGATGGTAAAGGTGGAGGTGGATGATGAAATGGAAGAGGAACCGTTTGGAAGGATGATGGGGATGGAGGGGCCAGGAGTGCGAGTGAGGGAGTGTTGTTTGCAAAAAGAAGAACTGATGACGTTCCCTTCCGCACCGCAATCGATTAAAATACGCGCAGGGGCACCAGCCACATTACCAATAAACGACAAGAGTGTACGGGAGGCTTTCTCAGCCGTGAAAGCGTGCAGACGGACGGATTTGTGTCGCAAGCGTTTGGTCCTGCGCTTGGACATGGGTTGGTCTAAAGCAGCAGGAGAGGAGAGTGGGTCCAGGTCCACTTCTTCTGATGGGCTAAGACCAACAGGCGAGGTATCAGATACGTCGTCGGTGAGTTGTAACTCATCGTCAAAGGGTACCGTGGTGGAGTGAGTGTTGGGGGCAGTGGTGGTCGAGTCGATGGCAATTGAGGAGGGAGTACGAGGCGAGGCAGGGATGGATGAGGGAAAAAGGGAGAGTGGAGGAGGAGAGAAGGAGAGTTTGTGTAGGCTACGAGGTGCGGATGTGGTAGTGCGAATAATGGATACAGAGGGGGGAGTGTTTTTGATAGCAGAATTTTTATTCTTGGAACTGTAACTTAACTCTGGTAAGGAAACACTCCCTTTGTCCAGAGGAGAAAGGGAGGGAACGTCGACGATCAAGTCCTGGACTAAGCCTGATCGTCGGAGGCTTTTCCCGACTCGGGGGAATCACCCACGGCTACTTGATAAACCCATCGTCCTTGGCGGTTGTTGTTGTTGCCACGGTTGGTATTGTTGTTGTCGCCGTAGATGGGGCACTCCTTTGCATAATGTCCAGGTTGGCGACAGCGACGGCAAGCATTGTTGTTTTTACACCATTCGCGTTCCTGAGGGGTCAGGGAAGGGGGATTACCGTTGTTGTTGTTTCGGGGGCCGTTGTTGTTATTGTTGTTGCGGTTGTAGTTATTGTTATGACCCATGTTTCTCTCTAGGCGATTAAATCGTTGGGTGATATTGTTGAGGGCGATCTGGATGTTGTCGATTTCCATGGGGGTGGCTTGAGAGAGAGCGGAGGAAGAGGTGAAGGAAGAAATGATGGGGGCGGAGGCGATGGCGAGCGAGTTGGTCTTGGGGCCGGTGTCGGGTTTGAAGGAGTAAATGCGGTCCATCTCTTGGGCGTATTGAAAGATCTGAATGAGGGTGATATTGGGGTTTTGAATAATGTGTCCTTCGATCATCTGTTGAAGAACCAAGGGGCAGTTGTCGATAAAGGATGTTTGGGCGAACTCGTTGACCGTGGTCTTGGCAGCGTCGGTGGAGGCATAACCAAGAAGGGCGCCCAAAAGTTCCTTGAATGTAGATAAGTAGGTCGAAAAGTTGGTGGTCATGCGAAGATTGGTGAGGTGTCGTCGACAGGAGCCCGCAAAGTTGTTGGGAATGTACTCTAGCTTAAAAGCAGGAGTAAACTCGGTCTCGAAGTTGCAAGTATCAGGGAGCCCACATCCATCAAACCATCGGGCAGGGCCAGGCGTGCCCAAGTACGAGAGAGCGTGGGGTGTTCGTTCAGTCTCACTTATCTTAGCAAGGTTGAAGTAGCGGTTAACCGCAACGAGCCAGGCCAAGGCAGAGAAACCGTCGCGGGCGCCTGTAAAGACAGGAGGGGGGTTAAGGCGGGCAGGGGTAACCATGACTGGTAGTGCAGAGAGAAGTGCGGAGAGGTCAAAAATGTCCAGAGTGTAAGAGGGTACGAAGGAAAATAGGGGCAGGGAATGAAATTCAGGGCTGGTGTGCAGAGAGAGCTGGGACGAGGGAAAATTAAAGTAAAACGCGGGCAGTGAAAACGAGGAGGGAAAAATCAAGAGGTCAGTGGAACGAGGGAACCTTTGCTACCATGCAACAGGCGAAGACTGGGACAGAGAAGTATAGAACGGGGACGAGAGTTGAAGCAGTGATGATTGATGTTATTACTATGGTACAACTAAATATATATACAAAGTCGCCAACTAGGTTTCTAGGTGTAGTGTCATAGTGAGTCAGAGATGATAGAGAGTGACAAGGAATGACTAACTAGAGAGCAATGATAAACCTAATATGTTGCAGAAGCCCTTGTCCAGTTTGTTTCAGCGTGGCATGAGCCGAATCCTTGGGGATTTGAAATTTGTCAGAAATTTTATCAATGACATTCTTCTCGCATCAAAGAACAGAAGCGATCATGCGATTCAGATGATAGAGTTGGTTAAACGGCTAACTGATGCCAAGCTTATTATTAACCTTGACAAGTGCAAGTTCTACAGTACGCAGGTGGCGTTGCTGGGCTTCATTGTGGATCTTGATGGAAAAAGAATTGATCCCAATAAATTGGTGAATATCAATGATTGGAAACCCCCAACTACGGGTAAGCAGGTTCAATCTTATATGGGGACTTTTAATTTTTTCCACGATCACGTACCCATTATAGCTACCATTAGCGCTCCGCTAGATGCTATGCGTAATGTGGTGGGTCCATTTACGTTGAATGCTGCTCAGTTGAAGAGCTTTGAGGCACTAAAGAATTTGTTGGTCTTATCGCCCATAATTTGCTGGGTGGATTTCAATTTGCCGTTATATGCTGCTACAGATGCATCTAACGTTGGAATTGGAGCAATTTTATATCAGCTGCCGGAAGGCGAGGCGAATCCCAAAAACATTAGATATATTTCTTTTGTTGCGCGCTCATTGCAACCCAGTGAACGACGCTATAGTACAACTCAGAAGGAGTTATTGGCAATTGTGTTTGCACTGAAGAAGTTGCATTACTATTTGTGGGGCCGTCACTTTACGCTTTTCACGGATCATCGCGCTCTTACTTTTATGCATACGCAGAAGGATATGAACTCGATGCTTACCGCATGGCAGGAGACTATTTTGGATTACACGTTTAAGGTTGTTTATCGACCTGGCGTTCTGAACGTTTTACCAGACGCTTTGTCTCGCCAGTTTCCTCAAGAGTTGTGGACAGCCCGCATTCAAGGATCTGCTCCGAGCAAAATTTATGGTTATGTTCACTTAATCCAGGACGCCGACACTCAACGTGTGACGGTAGCTGTCTCAGAGAGAAGAGGAGTGTTAGTCGACGCACATGCGCTTGGTCACATTGGGACCAATGCCATGGTCAAGCATATTCATTCGTTGCAAAAGACGTGGCCTAATCTGGCCAAGGATTGCTTGGAGTATGTTCAGCGTTGCCAAGAATGCCAGCGAGTCAACATCGCACGCAAGGGATACCACCCTCTGACGGCCATTCATGCTCAGTTACCAGGTGAACATATGGCGGTTGATTTGACCGGTCCATTCCCTGTGGAGAGCGATGGAAACCTATTCCTACTCATTTTGGTTGATGTTTGTACAAGGTTCGTCTTCTTGGAACCCATACCTGACAAGAAGGGGATGACCATTGCAAAAGTTTTGTTCAAAATCTTCACCACTATTGGTTTTCCACGTATCTTCCAATCTGACAATGGCAGAGAATTCGTTAACGAGGCGGTGCAAGTGATGACTACCACTATGGGAGTGCAACATAGGTTACTCACCCCTTATCACCCTCGCGGAAATGGAGTCGCCGAAAATCATGTGAAAACAGCATGCACTATCATTCGCAAAGAGGTTCAAGACCATAAACAAGCATGGGCGAAACATGTTCCTATGGCACAGCTAGCTATGAACACCAGAATTGTGGCTTTACACAATTCGTCCCCATTTTCTTTGTTTTTTGCGCGGCGTTATAATGGTATTAGCAATTTTTCGGACACGACAGAGAAGTTATCATCCCAGGAGGAGCTCTTAAAGCGTCTTGAGTGCATGACCAAGACCGTCTTTCCAGCGATTGACACTAAGACCCGCGAAACTCAACGTCGAATGATTGAGCGTTTCAATAGAACAGTACTGCACAGTGAATTCCCTGATGGAGCAAAGGTTATGTCTTTGGACCCGATCTTGGGCGACAAGCTTTCGCCTAGGTATGAAGGCCCTTATATTGTAGTCAGACGAACAACTGGTGGATCCTATGTGTTGAAGGATGCCACAGGAGAAGAGTTAGGTCGTAAATTTGCGCCGTCGCAGCTAAAGCTTGTGCTCGACGATTTTGAAGCAACTGACACATACGTAGTAGAAAAAGTTCTCAACCACAGGCATGGACCTAGGGGGGGGATGGAATACCGCGTAAAATGGAAAGGGTACAAAGAGGAAACCTGGGAGCCTCAAGAGAATTTTATTGAGAGAAAGTGTATCACAGACTACTGGAAGACTAAAAACCTACCAGGATCGCAATCTCTAACGCAGCCTCATCAAACGGCCGCGACTCTCGGGACTAAGGGTCAAGAGCAGGAGCTCAATCCATCGCAACGTAAAGGTGCTACTAAAACATCAAAGAACATATCCAATGGTGATGCTCTTAATAAGGGTACATGCAAGCGTGCAAACCCCGACGAAGAAGAAGATCAATTGGTCGATCGACGCAGGTCTAAACGACTGCGAAGAAATAATGCTAATGGCGAGAAGATGAGTATTGAGCTTAGGACGATTCGCGGGCGTATGCCTGATCGTCATTAGCATGCATCATCAGTGCATCCGATGAATAATGCAGTAGGGGTTTTTCCGCTTCCCCTACAATCACGTTCGAGGTTTTCCCTCTTGGGTTTTCCCCTCGCAAGGATTTTTAAACGATTTTTTGCCTTGAGTGAACAATTAATGTCATGTGAGGATTGTTGATCCTCAACCTGTCTGCAAGGTTTTTATTCAGATTTTTTCCTGGCAGAACAGTAAAATAATGCACAGAGTCCAAGTGATTCTTAGACACAAACGAGCAGAGCATATATGCGTTTTTAAGCAGACGGCTTTCAGCCTTTCCCATGGGAGGGGATTGTCGCATATTTGCCTGTCTCGGGGGTGTCAGCTAATGTAATTAGGCTAGAGACAGTAATTTAGTCATATGACCAGACACCGACATAAATGGAGGTGTCTGGGCTGTTAACAAAGATCCCTCTCTTCTACTAATACAAAATCGTTATCTCCATCACCTGACTTATCGTAAATCATGTGATGTTCCCTCTTTCTCTTTCTCATGGTGTTGTGGTGTGTGTATGGTGTGTATATGGTGTATATGTAGTGTGTGTGTAAGTGTTTGTGTGTGTTGTGTGCGTTTTTTTTTTTAGCTTAAAGTTAATTAAAATGAAAGTTAATTAAAAATGAGAAAATGATAGATGGATGTGGGATGCGATGAGAGCCATACCGGTAAGCAGATCTACCGGTAAGCAGATCTTCCGGTAAGCATGTTAAAATGCGGAATGAGAGCCATACCGGTAAACTGATCTGCCGGTAAGCATGTTAAAAATGCGGAAATGGAGAATGTAGAGAGTAGAGCCGATGGCTTTTTCTTTCTCTTTTTTTCGGACAAGAATATTTCCTTTCCTTTCCTTTCCTTTCCTTACCTCTCTCTTTTTTTTTTTTTTTTTTTTTTTTTAATCTGTCAGTAGCCAGCATGCCTTCCACTCGCTCTCGCCGTGTCGCTCTTACTTCAACATCCACCTCCAATGTCTCTCCCCCTGCGACCTTTACAGGATATAAACGAACCAAGGCAATGAATTCAACAAGGTCGCAGATGACCAAGTCGGTCACGTTCTCTCCCCTTTCCGCCCGGCACACTGCCACCAGCTCTACTGCTACCGCTCCCTCTGTTTCCTTCGCTCCCTACTCTCTTCCTACCAAACACACCAAGCGCTCCATCAAGCGCCGCACCATCAATAACACTAAACCCAAACCCAAGGCCATTACTCCTTACTCTTCCTCCTCTCCCTCTTCCTCCTCCCCGTCTTCCTCCATCAGCAGGTGTTCCAAGTGTCGTGGAACCGACCACCAAAGATCGACGAGTCGACGCTGCCCATACTATAAAGGGAAGCAAACGACAAGTGCAAGGATCAACAATACTCAAAAGCATTATTCCTACAGCGTCAACTACTATGAAGCCATCTTTGACACCATCTCAGACGACGACATCCTCGCTGCACTTGCTGAGGTCGATCAGGATCAGGATCCAAACACGACAAGTCAGTCTACCATTGTGGTGGATGTTAATGATAGCGAGGACGAATCGATCATAGACGACAACGACGATGACCTCGCTGCATTCGCTGAGGTCGTTCAGGATCAGGATCCAAACACAACAAGTCAGTCTACCATTGTGGTGGATGATTATGAGGATAGCAATAGCGAGGATGAGCCGCTCATAAGGCGGCGCCCAGGTTGGAAAAGCGTTTCCAGTTCGGAGTCAATCCAACTCGACGATGAAAGCGAGGATGATCTGCAGAGGCCATTAACACAAGTCATATCAACACAAAGCTCCTCTTCCAGTCATGCAAGCACTTCAAGCACTTTGTTGCCCGAGTGGACCTCTCCAATGCCCTCCACCATGGATACTGCTTCTGGATGCATGGCCATTGTATGTCCCACCTGTTCATCACAACTATTACTTTCAGCTGTATTACAGAACTAATCTAATAATACAAAGCGACTGTAGTGATCACCTGATATAGTTCGCAGTCACAATCAATCAATCGTTCCTAAATCACATGATTGTATTATGTCTATCGTATGTGCTGTGTGTGTGCCTGACGAACGCCACTAAATTTCCACCTCCCATTGTTGTTGATTGATGTTGACTAAGCAAAAGTGCGTATGCGTATCCCACAGAAAGCGAAGTGCGTGTCCCCTAGGAGGATCTGCTGACCAAGAAATGCCAAATAAGCAAAGTGGGAGTCCTCTAGAACCTCTAGAATCCTCCAGCAACAACCTTTTCTTCTCTAATAACTTGCTGCTACTCTTTTCCTCGCTTTTGTGCTTTTTTTTTTTTTTTTTTTTTTGCCCCTTTATTCCTAACTACAGTCTTTCATCAGCCACAACTCCAAATTTCATTTTCATCACATCTGTCACCATTCAACATGCCTTCCACTCGCCGTGCTCCTCTTACCTCCACCTCCAGTATCGATACCTCTTCAACTACAGCCTTTACAGGATGCAAGCGGGTTAGAGCGACGAACTCAACAAGGTCGCAGCCCACCAAGTCCGTCAGGTTCTCTTCCCTTACCACCACCAGGCGTACGGCTGCCACTAAATCTACTGTTACCACTCCCTCCTCTCCTTCCTCGCTTCCCATCAATAGCACTATCACCACACCCAATGCAATCGCTTCTTCTTCCTCCTCCTCTTCCCCTATTAGCAGGTGTAGCAGGTGCCGTGGAAACGATCACCAAAGGTCAACAAGTCGTCGCTGCCCATACTTTAAAGGGAAGCAAACGACAAGTGCAAGGATCAGCCATTCCCAGAAGCGTCACTCCAACAACTGCGACTACCTCAAAACCATCTTTGACACCGTTTCGGACGAGAGTATCCTCGCTGCACGACCCGCGTCTTTCACATCAAGCTGAAGGAACTCCTGCATGATCTGTTGAAAAACCATGTCCTCGGAAAGGTCGTCGGCATGATTCATGTCATTGAGTTCCAGAAGCGTGGACTCCCCCATGCACACATTCTGCTCATCATGAGCCCCGAGCACAAGCCTGGATTGCCTGAGGACTACGACAAATACATTTCTGCCGAGATTCCTGACCCTGCAACTCATCCGGCCGCCTATGAGACTGTTGTGAAATCCATGATCCATGGCCCATGTGGACCGGCAAACAGGAACTCTCCATGCATGGAGAACGGCGTGTGTACCAAAGGCTATCCCAAGCCCTTCCTCGCAACCACCACAAACGGACCAAATGGATATCCGCAGTACCGGCGCCGCATGGATGGAAGGACAGTCAGGATCGATGGCCGGGGAGATTTCGAGATTGACAACCGTTGGGTCGTTCCGCCCAACCCTTATCTGGCTGCAAAGTATGGTGCCCATATCAATGTCGAGAGCTGCACCTCTTCCACTGCGGTCAAGTATCTTTACAAGTACGTCTACAAGGGTCATGATCGAGCCACTGTTGTGGTTCAACAGCCGGCACAAGACGGAGCTCAAGCCGAAGCCGGAGATCTACCTGTGCCAGAAGTCAACGAGATCATTGATTTCATCGACGGTCGCTATGTCTCTGCCTCCGAGTCTTCTTGGGGCATATTCGGATTCCGCCTACACAGTGCCTATCCATCCGTCACCAGGTTGCATTTGCATCTTCCCGGCCAGTTCATGCACGCCTTCCGCTCGGACGAACCCATCGCCGATGTCCTAGAGAGAGCCGCACTGGAGCGCAGTACGCTGACTGCATTCTTCGACTATAACCGCGACCATCCTGACGAACCGCCATCAAAGTACCACGACTTTCCTCAAACCCACGTTTACCTCAAGAGGGAAAAGCGATGGAAGCTCAGAGAGAGAGGATGTACAGTCGGCCGACTCTTTTTTGTGCATGATACCGCAGGCGATCTGTTTTATTTGCGGTTGCTACTACTCTCGGTGCCAAGTCCTATATCGTTTGAGGGCCTAAGAACAGTCGAAAACGAGGTCCACCCCACGTTCAAGGCCGCCTGCATCGCCCTTGGCATGCTTCAAGATGATCGCGAGTGGGAGAACTGTCTTCGGGATGCCGCAGTCAGCCAAACGGGATACCAACTCCGCTCCCTTTTTGCAAAGATTCTTGCCTTTTGCAACCCGACAAATCCTGCTCAGCTTTGGACCACCTTTCGCGATGCACTGTCTGATGATCTCCGTCCAAGGGAACGTGACGCTACCAGCCTTGAGCAGCGACAATCCTTTGCAGACCAGCGTGCAAATGCTGCCTTGATCCACTTACAAGTTCTCCTGAGGAACCTCGGCAAGACTCTCCACGACTACGAAGGCATGCCCGAGCCCGTCATACTGGAGCAGCATGGTCCCAACGTAAATGCATTTATTGCAGACGAGTTGAATTACCCTTTGCCCAGCGCAGAAGATTTCGCCATGATGGAGCAGTCACTCAACGCGAATCAGAGGGAAGCATACGACCGAATCAAGCACTCCTATGAGATGAACTCTTCCGAGGCGTACTTCATCGATGGTCCTGCAGGTACAGGAAAGACCTTCCTGTACTCCCTAATCCTGTCTATGGTCCGGTCGAATCGCGATATCGCTCTTGCCGTTGCTGGATCTGGAATCGCCGCATTACTCCTACAAGGCGGAAGAACCGCTCACTCGCGCTTTAAGATTCCCGTCCCTACCCACGAGGATAGCGTTTGTTCAGTCAACCACAGGTCAGAAATTGCCAATCTTCTCATCCGGGCCAAGATCGTTGTCTGGGACGAGGCTCCGATGACGCATCGGCATATCTTTGAGGCTGTAGATCGCACTCTCAAA